CGCCACCTCCTTAACGACGTCGTCGTCGCTGCTGCTGACGTCAGCAGCCACGTCAATCGTGGCCGACCCGGGCTTGCCCTTCAGCTTTTTGCTGCCGCTGCCGCTACGGTGGGTGGTCGAGGTGGCGACGACGGCCGTGGTCGCGAGCGCCGCCGAGTGGCCGTAGCCGCCACTGCCGATGCTGTCCCTGTTGTTGTCGCCGCTGTTGTCGTCGCTGGTGATGGTGGTGGCGATGGCGGTGAAGGTGCCCGAGAGCACGGCGGCCAGGACGTCCTGCTCCTGGGTCGCCACGCTGGCCACGGTCGGCGGCTTGCTGGCCGACGCCGACGCCAGTACCATCTCGCCGGGCGCGGCCTGCACGACCGGGACTCCGCCAGCCGACGATGACGACGTAGTGGTGTCGACACGAGGACTGGTCCTGGGCGAAGTAGAAGAAGATGAAGATGACGACGTAGCTGGAGATGAAGATGATGAAGAAGCAGTAGTGGAGGAAGATGGGGGTTTGTTGGAGGGGGGGCGGCGGTGGGGGTTGGAGGGCGCGGGCGAGGAGGCGGAAGATGAGGAGGGTCCCCACGACGGCCAGCAGCGCGCCGCAGGCCAGGCCAGCCCCGAGCACTTCCCACCACCGCCAGCCCACGGCCGCGGCTACGTCTGCGGCCACGTCAGCCAGGGCGGTCGCTGCTGCCCCGTCCACCACCACGGCGGCCCCCGAGGTCATCGTCGTGGTCGCGGTTGTTGCGGGGTCGTGTCCGTGGTACCACCTCGAGCCCGGTGGTGTTGATTTTTCTGAATTAATGAGAGATAAAGAAAACCAGGAGATCCAGGAAAGAAAAGGAAAAGGGAAAACACAAAAGTCGGAGAGAAAAAGGAGGAAATGCGGCGTTCCAAGAGGGAAACCTCTTCGATAAAGAAGTCGCACGGAGGAACTACGGAGGGGGCAATGGTCAAGTCCACTCCGCTGACGGTGGTTGTGGTGCTGCTGTTGATTGCACACAATGTCTACACCCTCTACATTATGCGCCTTGCCGTCGAACGGCCAGTGGGTGTGTGTGGAGAGTTTCCCAGCTCGCCTACACATGCTACTTGCAGCTGACCACGCTTGTCTGTCTGTGTAGACAGTTGCCCACCCACCAACCTGGCCCAGGCGCCGATGATACCACCCACAACGCACCAGCCACCAACCCAAGCCCAGGCCCAGACTCATCGGCACCAGCAGCGCGCAGGCCCCAGCAACGGTGAGAAGCAAGTGTTCACGAGCGGCCGCATAGCGGTGGTGCGGCCATTCATCCCCTCCCACGTCGACCGGCTTGTCGAGGACATGGCCTCGTGGGAGCGCCCCGAGTTCCGACCGTGCGCCCTGCCCGCGGGCAATGATGATGGTGACAGGCCCGACCTGGTGCTGTACTTCAGCTACCCGCTCGACCAGTTCCCCGAAGTCGTGTCGACACTCCAGCGGGCCTGGGCAGCCGCGGCGTGGAGCCCCTGCTTCGCCGAGATGCGGATCATCTCGGCCGGGCTCGACCCCGCGGCCGATCGCTACCTGCCCAGCCAGAAGACCGCCGAATCAGCCAAAGATGAAGCCGAAGCCGAGGAAGCCAAACCACCAGCCCCATCAGGTGCCCTTTCTCATGAACTCGCACAAGCTCACAACACACACGACACGACACGACACGACACGACACGACACGACACGACACGACACGACACGACACGACACGACACGACACGACACGACACGACACGACACGACACGACACGACACAGGACTAATGGTGGTGGTTGAACAAAAAGGGGTGGTGCTGATGTACTTCAACCTGATGTTGGACCCTGCGTTCGGGGAGGCCTATGAGTACTTCCTCTACATGGAGCCCGATCTGACGGCCGTGCGGGCCGGGTGGCTCGACCAGTTCAGTCGCGAGTGCCATGACGAGCTCCACAACTTTTGGATGAAAGGTGTCGTGTGCGCACAGGCCCACAGCCACACGCGCTCGTGTTGATATCCACAAGCGCACACGCACACGCATGCCCTAATTCAAAACGAACGATTGCGATACTCAGGGAGCATCTACGCCGGACCCAAGTACGTGAGCGACGAAACAGACTCGCCCTGGCTGTTCCACATCAACGGCAATGCCATCTACCACGTCGGCGACCCCGGGTTCCGGGACTACATCAAGAAACTGCGGTACGTCGACCGACCACGTGTGTGCGGTGGTGCGTGTGCGGTGACTGAGCTGTGTGAGGTGTGCAGGCAGCTGGAGGGTGCGTTGACGAATCCATTCGACGTGACGATGTACGAGTTCCGGCGGCAGCGATTCACCCTGAGCCAGCGCACCATCCACCGCTTCCTGTACGGCGAGTACATCCAAAACTACGGCGTGTCGGGCTACTCCCTGCGCCAGCTCCTGGTCGACAAGCCCCGCACCTTCCTCGTCCACAAGAAGCACAACTGCCCCGAATGCGACCCCGTCGAGCCCTAGGCGCACACGACACACGACACACAACACGCACCGCACGACACGACACGACACGCACCAGGAATTGCACAAATAATTGGAATTGCTTGCCCAGGTGGGCGAATTTGGCTCACTGCTGGGCGAGTCTCTGGGTAAAGTCGTCGATGGTGAGCGTGAGCCCCTCCTCGAGCGGCACGGCGGGCTCCCAGTTGAGGTGCTGCTTGGCCTTCGTGATGTCGGGCTTGCGCTTGCGCGGGTCGTCCGACGGAATGGGCTGTGGCGAAGTGGGGAATGTGGGCTCAGGAATGTGGGCGGTGGAGCTGCGCAGGAATTGGGCGCGCACTGCACCTTGGAGATGATGGCCACATCGGGGTTGACCATGTTTTGCACGGTCTCGGCCAGCTGCTTGATGGTGTACTCCACCGGGTTGCCCAGATTGACCGGTCCTTCGGGGGAGGGAATAGCAGTTGAGGTGAGGCTCACCTATCACACGACGCACGCACACGCACGCACACACGCACACACACGCACGCACGCACACGCACACACGCACACGCACACGCACGCACACACACACATACACAGCACAATTTGGGGAAGTGTATGTGTGTGTACCGATGTAGTTGCCGTTCATGAGGGAGATGAGGCCGGTCACCAGGTCGGACACGTAGCAGAACGACCTCGTCTGGTCGCCCTCGCCGTACACCGTGAGCGGCTCTCCTGTTGTTGGCGACGAGTCGAACTCATCAGCAACACGACACACAAGCGACACACGACACACAACTCACGACACACGACACACGACACACGACACGACACGACACGACACATGACACGCACCTTTGAGGGCCTGCACGATAAAGTTGGAGACGACGCGTCCGTCGTTCTCGAGCATGCGCGGGCCGTAGGTGTTGAAGATGCGTGCGACGCGGATGTCGACGTTGTTCTGGCGGTGGTACTCGAAGGCGAGCGACTCGGCCACGCGCTTGCCCTCGTCGTAGCACGAGCGGATGCCGATCGGGTTGACGTGGCCCCAGTACTCCTCGCGCTGCGGGTGCTCGTCGGGGTCGCCGTAGACCTCCGACGTGGACGACAGCAGGAAGCGGGCGCGAACGCGCTTGGCCAGGCCCAGCATGTTCATCGTGCCCAGCACGTTGGTCTTGATCGTCTTGATGCCGTTGTTCTGGTAGAACACGGGCGACGCCGGGCACGCCAGGTGGTAGATCTGGTCCACCTCCACCAGCAGCGGCTGCGTCACCTGTTGATGGTGTGCCACACACATTTTTCATATTATAGATTATTTATATTTATATTTTTCTAATTAAATAATAATAATTAACAATGTTTGGTTGTGTCCCAAAAATTAAAGAATTACCGAAATGAAAAACAATAAAAAAAGAGAGATAGAACTAAAAGTTGGTGACTCTTGATGGTTGGTGGGCCAAGCGACGTACGTCGTGACGGACGAACTCGAAGCGGGGGTTGCCCAGCCACTGGCGAATGTTGGCCTTGCTGCCCGAGAAGAGGTTGTCGGCGCAGATGACTTCGTTGTGTTCGTCCTGCATGAGGCGGTCGATCAGGTGGGACCCGATGAATCCACAGCCACCCGTCACGAGGATGCGATTCGAGGCGCGCTTGATCGTCCCCGCGTTGTAGGTCAGCTGCTTCTTATTGAGCTTCGTCGGCACCGCTGTGTCGCTGCCCGAGCTGTCCATCTTTGCTATCTTCTCTTGGGTCACGCGAACAATTTTGATTTTTTTTTGATTTTTCATTTTTCCTGCATTTTTTCAAATTCCTTTTTAATATAAGTCAACCTTGGTCAAGGAAAAAAGTGAAAATGAACGGAAAAATACGAAACGAGGGAAGAGAGTTTTGTTTATTGTACATCCCTTGCTGCGTGCAGAAGCCAAACAAACGATGCGCGACCAATCCAAACCCTTGCCCCAGCTGCGTGAGGGCGATAAGGTCTAGCGTATAGTTCTATTTTATTTTCTATTTTATTTTTATTTGCTATTTATTGATTTATCTCACAACGTCAACCTGGTCGTGCTAGGTGCTGGTGCGGCGGGTCGACACCTGGGTGGAGGCCGAGGTTGCCCGCTGCGCCAATGGCCAGGTGTGGGTCCGGTGGGGCTCGCAGGCCAGGTGGAGCTGGCGCCCCTCCCGCATCCGCTCCCTCCCCTGGACCTGCGGTACGCCCCCGGCCCTCCTTTTATTTATTTATTTATGTATTTATTTGCATTTAATATTCAATTCTATTCAATTTATTTCTTTATTTCATTTTTATTTTGTAGCTGTGCCATGCGATTCGGCCTTCTTGCGTCGCGACCTGTCGCGCCTGTCTCTGACCCCCGCCCAGCGCCGCTCGCTCAACAAGGTACGACCGCCAACCCCCCCCCCCAAGAGCCCGCGACTGATCGCTTGGTTGGTTGGGACAATGCGAGTAGAGGCAGGCCAAGGCCCAGGTGGAGAGCGACCTGGCCCGGGAGACGCGCCTCCAGCAAAAGTACTACGCGCGCAAGTTTGGCACGGCCGCCGACGCCGAGGGCTGCGGCGACGACGACGATGATGACAACAAGAACAAGGACAAGAACAACGACGACAACTACAACAACTACTACTCCTACTACAGCCGCAACAGCACCGCCTACCCGGGAGAGAACTGGCCGGACAAGTACCGCAGCCTCTCGAACCCGCACTCGGTACGACCGCACACACACGACACACACACGACACACACACACACGCGGTACAATAGCTGACCTGTCCGACAGGTCTCGAGCGGTGGCCGGTCGACGGGCGGCAGGGGCGGCGGCGGCCAGTACGCGTACGCGCTGTACAAGGGCAAGCAGTACACGATGGCCGAGTTCGAGGCCGTGCTGGCCGACGACCGCAAGCGCGCGCCCAAGACCGACCCGCTGCGCGAGCAGATCCGGGCGCTGCGCGAGGAGCTGCTCACCCTCCACGTCGAGGACCCTGCTTGCCAGCACGCTTACGACCTCGACCAGTTCATGTTCGAGGAGGCCTACGCGGCGAGCGACTTCAGCAGCGCGGGCGGCGACGACGACCGCGGCTGGGGCGCCGAGGACGACATCGCCGACGGCTGGAACCAGGGCGGGCGCCAGTCTGGCCACAGTGGTACGTCGTATCGTGCTGTGTGTGCGGTGTGTGCGGTGCGTGTCGTGCGCGTGTTGTGTCGTGTGTGCGCCTCGGCTGACAACGCACCGCACTAGTGTCAGAGGCGCGGGAGAGGGCGCCGAGGCGTGAGCGCAAGCCGCGCCGGGCGGCCGGGTGGATGGGTGATTGGGCCGTCCCCGCCCCTGACGAGGCCGACGGGCACCCGTCGGAGGAGACTACTGCAGGCCGCGACGATGCGCACCTGGCCCACGAGGTCGAAGATGACCACCACCACCACCACAACAGCCGCGCGTCGTCGACGTCTGCTGCCGCCGCGGCCAGCGACTGGGCCAACCCGTACGACCTCCAGTTCGAGAGCGCTGCCGCGGGCGGCTCCGTTTCGCTTTCGGCCAGCGACGCCTTCCCGACGTCGGCGTCGGCGTCGCTGGCGGCTTTCGGGCCGACGAGCGGCGGCTCCGTGTCCTATGGCATGCCCGAGCTCACGACTCTGGCCGCCGGGTTTCACCTTCACGACGCCTCGAGGTTCTTCACCACCGCCACCAGCCACGCCTTCGACGACAACTACTGCGCGCCCACCTACAGCGACAGCATCGACTTTGCCGCCTCCGCCGCGGCCGACTATGACCACAACAGCCGCTACACGACTGCCGACACCTACGGCTACAGCAACAGCAACGACAACAGCAACGTCGATCACAACAGCAGCAGCAGCAGCAGCCACCACTACGGCAACGAGAGCGGAGAGGACAACGACAACGGCGCGGAGGAGGAGGACGGTGAGGAGGGCGATTTTGGCGGCCTCTTCAGCGAGAACAGCACGCGTCGCGAGTCGCGGTCGTCAATTTCGAACGAGTTGGCCGGCGCAAGGACCTCCACCGCGGCCAAGAAGGGCAGCGGCAAGGCGCCCGAAGCCGCGGCGGCGGCCAACAGCGGTGCGGGCGGCGAGGGCGGCAAGGCCGGGGTCATCGACCTGCGACAGCTGAAGAGGCGGCAGAAGTGGGAGGCCCGTCAGGTGAAGCGCGAGGAGTTCAAGCGCCGGCAGCGCCAGGAGCGCAAGCTCGGCGCTGCCAACTGAAACACGAACAACAACAACAACAACGTCGAGAAGCCACTCCTTTGTGCGTGATTGCGGCCTTGTGGTCGGGAACAGAGGGCATTGTTCTTCACCACCAACGTACATGTACTACACTCGCTGCTGCAGGCTTTGATGTCAGGAGGGGAGAACAATGAAAGTAGAGAAGAAACGACGACGGACAGTCGCGAAGAGCAAGATGGATGGCGAGCCAAAGAGCGGTCGGTGGCGGCAGCAACCGATTTATTGGGTGGAGAGTACAGTAAGGGATGTGGCCCGGGCTCTAGTATTGTACAGAGATCGAGGAAGAGGAGATGATGATGCGTTGTCGTGGAGGGATGTGGTACAGAGAGCAGAGCGCCAAAGAAAAATCCTGCTGCTCGAGGAGATGTAGAGGAATTGGGGGGGGGGAGAGATGGAGGAATGAAGGGAAGAGGAAGATAGCTTAGAAGAGGGAGCACTTGCCCTTCTTCTCCTTCTTTGCGGGCGAGGGCGGGTTGAGGACGACGCGGATGGCCTCGTCGAAGACGTTCTTGAGACCCTGCTGGGTGAGGGCGGAGCACTCGAGGTACTTGACGGCGCCGATCTCCTTGGCGAGCTTGTCGCCCTGGTCCTGCTGGATGGGCTGCATCTTCTTGTCGGCGAGGCGCGCGATGGTGTCGGCGTCGTTCCTCAAATCGGTCTTGGTACCGACGAGCAGCTTGGGGGTGGTCGGGCAGTGGTGCATGATCTCGGGATTCCACTTGTTGCGGGCATTCTCGTACGAGGGAGGCGACACGACGGAGAAGCAGATGAGGAAGACGTCGGTCTGAGGGTAGGACAGCGGGCGGAGACGATCGTAGTCCTCCTGGCCGGCCGTATCCCAGAGGCCCAAGTTGATGGCCTTGTTATCGACCATGACGTTGGCCGAGTAATTATCAAAGACCGTCGGGATGTACTCGCCGGGGAAGGCGTTGGTCGTGTAGGAGATCAGGAGACAGGTCTTACCGACG